AAATTACAATCAGAATAACAGGAATTCTAATTCACAAAATTGATTGCCCACCTCATTGAATGCAGGTTCTCTGTCTATGCTAGACTTGTAATTCACTCTCAACATATTAAATAGAGGTAAGGCATCTCTTTCAAACCTGCGATCAAAAGAAACTTTCGAACAATTAATCGGACCATGTTAAATTTACCAAACATGGAAAGTGAATATGGTGGTTTTAACTAAAAGAAAAATAACTTACGTTAGCAAGAGAAAAATGAAAAACTGAATCAAATCCGATTCGGGGAAATCAAGCTCCTAGGATTCCACTAGTCTCTTTAATTCATCCATAAGGTAATTAGCATCTCGAAGATTACCCATAGACAAGTACCTAAAATGTTAAAGTCATTTTCTCTATTGTACACAATTTATTGCTATTAAACAGAACAGAGAAGGGAAAAGAATAAAACAGAATATTCCCTATCATAGATGGAAATTTATAAATCTCAGAGAATAAAAAAATCCAATTTTAGGTTGAAAATGGAACATGGCGTGTCAATAGTCAATTTGAGTTTACAAGCGTACAAAAAAGACATAATATCTTATGGACAATAAAGTCTGTTTACAGCAGTGACAGTAGGAACAATAAATTATAGGCCAAGTGAGCAGTTCTTCAGCAAGCTTACATAAGAACTGCCCGTGCAATGGCTAGATCATCTTCACCAGGATAACACTGGTTGAAAAGCATATCAGTTGTTTGCGCTAAATATGTATCAAAGGATAACACTAAAATATTGTTTGTTGAATCTAAAAACTTCACTGCAAGGATGGGTTCAAAATATCGACAATAAAGAAACTATATTGCACCTATCATCTATAATATACCGTAAGTTTGAACAGGGAATATGACTTTGATTTGCATGCCTCAAACCATATTCATAAGGGGAGAGAGAGAGAGAGAGAAGAAAATTAACCTTGCTCATAAAATTTACGAAAGTAGATGCAAACTTTTTTGGGTTGTTTCCTCTAACAAAATGATATGACACTTTGGCCATGTTCTGCGAAAAGAAAAAATCACATAATTGTAGGCATCCACAACACACATGCATGTTAACTGATAAATGGACCTTTGAACTGAAAAGTGATGAAAATCAATGTAGAATAGCTAGATAGTTTTCAATGGCATGTATGGAGGGAAAATAGAAGCATCTAATTTGTTTGACTAAGCATTTTTTAGCCAAGCATCAAAGGACCTCAAGACAGAAACCACAATGAAAGGATGATACCACCAAAAATAAAAGCAACTCCAATTACCCATATAAAAATATTAACCAATTACCTGACTTTAATTTTAATTGACTCACCAATGTTCCAATCGGAAAATCACAGGCAAGATGTATATTGGACAAAATCCCAAATTCCCTAAATCTCCGTGCATGACAAATGCTGTAATCTAGTTCAAACCAACCAACAAATATCAGGATATCACTATCAAGTACATAATCAACTTATGGTTCGTTGAACATTTTCCACTATTTTACACATTTTGGAACAAATTTAAGTGGCAGACTGGCCTTATCTCTGCAGGGAGTGCTCATGCATGCCATCCCGAGAGGAACTTACCTTTTAATCAAAAGGAAATATGCCATGAATGTACTCAAGTTATAAAGGATTACATATTTTAATTATTAAAGTTTGAGCACAGCACACATTTAAACAAAACAAATGCCTCAAATAATGTTAGTAAGTTATCTGCAAAATATTAAATTGGTCATTAGCGTACAATGCATATATTGCACAAGCCATTAAGACCTTCAATATTAGGACAAAGATAAACTTCATCTAATTTAAAGTAAGAGAAAAGGAGAGATATGCCAATGAAGCAAAAGCAAAGTCAATTTCACTTCAAACCTACCAACTCAATAGATTCGGAGTAGATGTACTCGGCCAGCATAACATGCAGTTGTGGATCACCTTTCCTGGAAGCACCAAACTCTGCAGACCACCTAAAACCCAAAACAATAAATTTAAAGGAAAAAAGAAGTAACATTATTAAATGTTATTTTTCCGTTTTCATCTCTTTCATTTCCATTTAAAGTGTATGTTCATGATCATAAGATTATGATCTTATGCCTCCACAGATACTGCAAATGTGGGGAGATTGTCATTCATCTATCAAGTAAATTTAACCACCATAAATAACAAGGCAAGGGAACAGGCTGAACATTGTTCCATAATTAACTTCAAACGGCATTGAGAATACTGGTATAAGAGCAACCACACAATCTGTCGATAGAATTCTCATGAAAACATAGCACAGAAATCATTAAAATAAGGAAAATAGCTAATCAACAAAATAATATGGGAACAATATCTCACTTTATAGCAGCTCTTAAGAATGATGAGCAGCTCTCTAGACGTGTTTTTGCTGCTCCAAGAGCTTCATTAAGTTCTCAAACATCATCATCATCATCATCTGCCACATTACTAGGCAGCGACACCTTAGGAAACACCTTATAAATTTTCCTGACACAATCTAACATACACATTTTGTTATAATCGCGAGAAAAGAAATAGCAGAACCAAATGAACCAAACAGATATATATAATACAATCAACTATATGGTTTTCTTTTCCCATATAAAAGGTACACAAGTCATCAGAATACAAGAAGGGAGGGTCCATAAACTAATAATCACAATTTGTGCTGACAAGATAATAAAAATATGACAACACAAGTACTAACCAAGTATATCTTCACCATATGGAATTTTCCCTTTGACAAGAGCATCAACAAACAAAACTGCGAGCTCTGCCCCACAAGTAACCTGAAGATTTTCACTCCCATGATTTCAATGCAATAGCCATGAAGTAAAGGGCAACAATTAAGAAGACCAGCCAACAATTTCCTCACGCAAGTTTCACATGCCTCTATTTCCACAACAACACAATCGTTTTGAAATAATTATCAAGTAAAATGCATTCAAATATATCAAAATCAACATTCTTAACCTGTCTTTCTTATAGAATTTTGGGCTGTAGTAGATAACAATATACCTAGCCTATGCTACACTAACTTGCATCATTCTTACATCTTATAATATATTTTGACTAGGAGGAAGGAAGGCCAACCATGTATGTAAAGCATATTAACCATGAAATACTTACAATAACTGAATTGATGTCATCTTATATATTTTTTAAATTAAGTTTTACACTAGTCGTCTTATATGGAGATAACACAAAATACACTGGTAACCAATCATCTTCCAATTCATTCTGAATCTAAATTCCGAACAACCAATGTCGAATTACATGATGCTTTTGCACAGAACATTGAGGAAAAAAGGAAAAGAACTTGACTGACAAGCTCTGAACCAATGTAACCGAAAGGGAATAAATAACCTGGCCATGCTTCAACTGCAGGCATGCACCTGACTCGAGCAAATTCAAGGCCTCGGAATATCTTTCAGCACATACATATCTGAAATAAACATTCATCTTTCAAAATCAATTATAAGTCTTCCGAAGTTAACCGAAGTTCAAACATGCTAAGCACCATTCTAAAATTTGTCCCAACTGCAAAATTAGTAAAACGAAAACAAAAGAAGAAAAAATTAAAAGTCATATTCATAGAATGTAGCCGTCTAAGTCAGAAAGACTTTGTAACTAGGATTTTACTCATTAAACTTGTACTCTCTGACTTATCTAAGTAGAAGTTAGAGTGTTAGATTAGATTTCTGTCTAAATAGGTTAACACCTAATAGGACTCTAATATTGTATTTTACAGTAGGACTCTACTGTTGTAATTAGCCTATTTAATAGGCTTAACTTCTTCTTGTATTCAACTAAGAGAAAAACTTTACTTTCAGAAAATCCTTTCATCCTTTTGCTTAGTTATCTACAATATTACTCCCTCCCTCAACTACTAAGATAGAATCCTAAGCAAAGTTGAAGACAATGAATGCTGCAAGCGGAGTCCCATAACCTACTCAACCATACAAGCCTTTAATCCAACCATATGAGGATCTGCGCCACTAAACCCCATCTAAGAATCTAAGCACATCTAATACCTATGTCGCTGGCTCTTAATTTTCTTTTTCTGGTGAATTTCCCTTGTTTGAAATATATAAGGCACAGCTTTCCAACCTGGCATGCATCCAAGCAACAGAGACTAATAGCATGTGTAGCTATTTGTAACTCTAAAAGAACGTAAATTTGGGAATTGCAGAGTCATACCGTGCACTTATAGATTTGTACATCTGCTGAGCTCCATAGAAATTACCCTCATTTATAGCTTTCTCTAGTTTATTAATAATCTGAATTTCATATAAAAAAACTAAATCAATTAGAAATTATTCTTCACCATAAAAATAAGGAAAAATCATACTTGAATGTAGAACTACAGACTGTATTGGTTTACTCTTGATTGAAAAGAAAGGTTCGATTCTTTTAAAGAATAAATGTTTTCACATTTAAATATTACGAAACCAGAGATAAAAATAACAGAACGTTTAAACTTTACTTCTTTTCAATGAAACTTTGCATTCCAGCACCCTTATTTTCTCACCAACCAAACAAAGCTTTGGAACAAGTACATAAATGAAAAAAATAATTCCAAATTATCAATTTGTTCGTTTTTTTTTCCAGTTTTCTACGAAATAGATGATGGGCTATTTCCTTTTTTCACTAAAATAATTACAAAAAAAATACTAAAAGCAATAGAAATAGAAAAAATATACCTATTGAACAGGAGGAATCGTGGCTCTTCTGAGTTTCTCTCTTAACATTTTCCCTCGATTTCCTCCTACACTTCTATTTCAATGGAAATAAAGTACTGATTTTCTTTATTACCATTAAGAAAGATCTAATTTTTCCTATTGTTTTTCGATTTCAGTTTAATAAGAGAATCCAGACAAGTCAAAAATGGGCTAGGCCTATTTTAACTAATAATATGGGCTTTTCATCTTTCTTCTTTCACGTTGAAATAAAAAAGACGAAAATTGCAAATAAAATATAAATACGAAAGCCGAAAAGAATATTTTTTAAGCTCTCATCTATACGAAGGTAATTCTTTCTCCAGTTATCTCCAATTGGGAACTTGATTATAGGATTTTCTATCGAGTTTTTGTGTTAATCTTTAGTTTTGTTCAGTTTAATTTCTGGGTTTGTTTTAAAAGTAAAATTTGTAAGGGTATGATATCGACCAGACTTGTTAACTTCTTCATACTATTCGATAAAATGCCTGAAAGAGTGTGTTATGATTGCTTAGTTTTGACATTGCGATTTCCCCCCCCCAGACTAAAAGGCTTTACAATGGGTTCTCAGCAAGCTTTGAAAGCATTCGAAGCATATCGTGACATCCTCAAAGCAGTGAAAAAACACATTGGAAAAGAAGAGTATAAGAAGCATTTTAGCGAGTATATAACAGAACAGTTCAGGAAGAGCAGTCAACTTTCAGATCCTTCTTTGGTTGCCCAAAAGATCAAGCTTGCAAATGACTATACTTATTTACTTAACGGCTTGCATCATCACAAGGTAATTGCTATCTTTCACTGCTTTCAATTTAGACTCGCTTATCTTATTTTGTCTGCTATGCTTAAACTCCCTTTTATTGTTGCTGTTTTTCATGTTTCTTTAGAATTTCATAAGAGTATGTAAAGTAACATTATTTAATTCATTAATAGTTTAATTCTAATCATTAAAAGATATTGTTTATATTTATATTGATATGCCTTCTTGCTTTCTGTTTCTCAAAAATAAAACTGCAAAACCAGTAATCAAAAGGAATCTAAATCTTTAGTTTAGCATTGTTGGAACAGTTGGACTAGGCTGTAAGTGTGGGATACAGGTTTTGTGCCTAACACGGGTATCTTCAATTTTTTCAAATGTTTTTCTGGGGATGGTTCTTGGAAGACCATATCCTCTTGTCCGTATCCGAATTCCGAACATATTGGATAATATTTTTGGAAATGTGGCATTGTTTCTGTAAGATATGTCGATTGATTAATACGAGGCTTTCTTTTCAGCTAATGATTGATAGAGAAGGCATTAAGTACCCGTCATCGGTTTCTCTAATCATAAAATAGTTATGATTTTCCTGTTTTCTCTCATCCTTCTTGTATGGACTGTGTTATTTATATCATTTCCTGTTACACCGATCGCATCATTTGTTTTTACGGTTTTTTCTAAGAGAAAAGGATGTGATTTTCTTCTGGTTTTGTTACTTATGTGGCAGGAATTATTGTTCTCTTACAACATAGCGGTAGACAGGTCAGATGAAATGAAACGAGTGCTTGGAAAATCAGCTGCGAGTGTTGGCCTTAAGCTTCCTGAGGTTTTTCAGGCTTGATACCATTGGATGATCATTTTCTTCATCTTTTTTGTCTAGATTTTGGCTTCGCGACATTCTATAAATATCGGAGATTCAGCTTGAGTAGAACAAATTGAAATCCCGGTTTTCTCAACTTATTTTCGTATCATGTTTGATTGAACTTGTTAATGCTGCTTGAGCCTTGAAGAAGTGCCCGAGACATTTGTTGGTTCCTATGAGACACGTTCATGATTTATCCTCTGGGAAATGTTCTGCATGATGTGTTGTAATTCGTGCTCGAAACTCTTGATAATAACGACTTTTTCATCGTGAGCACATTCATCTCGTTTGCGTTTACTCTTCGTACATCTCGATTTCCAGTCGGGAATGTTTGGATTGAGGTCGTTTTGTCGACATCATGATCATGAGTTTTGCATGTTTCGGAACACAACATGATATTATCAAAGCATTCATACCAACAGAAATCAACTACAAGCATTAAAGATCTATAATTGTACCTAAAAATATAGGCGAACAGGAGGCATTGGAGTTGATGCTTGTTCCGATGCTCGAATCAATATTTGTTCAATAGATAGAGACGAAGTAAATACAGTTTGGTAAGCGGCGAATACCCTTGGCCTCTGTTTAAATTGAGTTTTTTTCTTTCTTTCTTTTTTTTTAATTATGTTTGAGTTTATAACCAATTCTAAAATTATAATCATCATATATCATGCTTAAAATTCATATGAAACAAATAAAAATATATTTTTAAGAAACAAAAATTTGATTCAAAATTAATCAAGGCTCAATCCATATTAAAGAGTGCGATAAAATATAAAGACAACGTTCTAATCATAAAATAAGTAATAAATTTATAGACAGCAATTCAAATTAATTTTTAATCCAGTCTCTTTGATAAATATCATTGGCTACATATCTCTTTACTATAACTACTACAAAATTAAAAATAGAAAGACAAAAAAAAAATTAAATAGATTAATGTATACCTATTTCAATTGCTTTTTATTCTTGACTATTGATAAATGAACTTTTATGAAAAAATAACAACAATCAAAATAAATACGTGATAATTTTTTGATTACATTTTTCATGTCTTGATTACACCACGAGTCATAATAACAAGCGAGAATTGTCCATGGATTAATTTTTTGACATTTAAATATTAAAAAAAAAACAATCTTCACTGACATTAGTATTCAAAGTCCAAACAGTCCCCAACTAAAATTCAATGTTAAAAGGATGGTCGACGTCTCTAAATGTCATGGGTTTTAACAATAGCGACTACAGTATATTTAAGAGTTTATTGTCATATGATTGGGTATTTAAAACAGGTAATACCACTTGTGATAACCCTAAATTAATAAAAGAAACTCAAACTCGAAAAACTGTTAAGATGGTCACAAGAAGCCATTTGCACAAGCAAAATAAAAAAATTGGATGTTTATCTAACAAATTCAGACCAAGAACGTTTAATTCCGAAAACAATACATAAACATATGTTAGCCTTCATTTCAGCACAAGAGACAATAGACATTTTGAGTAAACCTGGAAAGAAACTCTCATGGCTACAAGGAAGCAAAGATGCAAAGCACCTTGAAGATTGTTCTAAGCATACGAGTGATGTCTGTGACGGTCTTTCTCCCTTGAAGAATATGATGAGCCACGATAATCACGGTCTGAAAAAATAAAAGGTTTCAGACGGTGAACTAATCTATAATTAGCATATTGTGGTAGTTGAAACGTTGTAGAAAGTTAAAAACATACCACGTGATGAGTGGTGCCTGGATTTTTCAGAATGCCCCCCTGGTAGAAAATCATAGTAGTTGCTAGTTAGACAAATTGCATGCGAGTTAGTAATCAAAATCAGAACATAAATTCACTCCCGTTACATGAATAAAAGAAACAACCTGAATCCTTTGTTCTATCCTTTGATCGATGACCTCTATCCTTGAGTTTATCTCTGTCCCTTTCAGTCTCATCTCGCTCTCTTTCCCTGTCAGAATCTCTGCCTCTGTCACGATCCCAGGCCTTTGCTCTCTCCCTGTCTCTTTCTCTGTCCCTCTCCCTTTCCCGTTCCCTGTCCTTGCTCTTCTCTCCACTTGATTCTGTCTTATGCTCAGACTTGGATTTATATCTGGATTCCTCTCTTGCATCACCCTCTGTGGGCATGCTCTTGGATTCATCATCACTCTTCTTAGATTCTTTCAGCTTGTCAAGACACATTTTAATTTTAGCTTCTTTACCTCCCTCTGTTTCCACATCAGCCACTACCACATTGATATCGTAAGCATTGACATTATTATCAGCTAGCGGACCCGGGGGAACTTCCTGCAAAACAGTGAGAGAATTTCACTTCGACCTTGACTCAATTACCCTAAAGAGCTTGTTTATGTTGAATGTAACTGTAACATATCATAAAGTTCTGGAATTCGTCAATGCTACCCTCTTTATTTCATGCCATATGTGTAGCTATTACATGGCCATAAAATTAGAGGCCTAGCAGAGCACCTAGAGAAGACATTAGCAGCACTTTCTATATATCACATGCGCTTGGATATATAATAAAAATTCAAAAATATATATCTTAGCAGGCACATACTACCAGTGAAACTTAAAAAAAAATGGGGAAATTGTGAGAAACTAAAAGTCGGATTAACCTTTGGAGTCGGATGAGATTGTGAATCCGCAGACCTGGTGGAAAATGTAAATGGTTTTCCATCCTTACAGACAGGAATGTATTGAGCCTTGGGAAGGCTGTACAAATGTGCCAGAACCCTACAAACCTCATCAATCCCAGACTTCTCCGCATCAAAAGCCTTCCACCATGGTGGGTTCTCAGGAAGGGGTACTTGGAACCTGCGTGCAGCAGCATATACGACCCCACATGCCACAACCTCACTCTTGAATCGAACGCACAAGATTGTACGTAAGCTAGTGCAAAGAGAGTTGACAAACAAAAATACAGGAAAAGTAAGTTCCACCAATAGAAAGAAAAATAACATGCTAGTGGTTCGATGTGCAGATAATTGACAGCACGAACTTAAAATGAGATACAATAGAACTTCCATTTAAATAGAAAGAATCCTTTTATAAGCAGTAAACACTAGCAGCGACATTTTTAAGGCAATTCATTGATAATGTTACCCAAATATGGAACTAGAAATATCTACTCCCGCGAGAACATTTAATGCAGATGATTCAAACTATTATGCTCAAGAGAAAAAAAAAAAAGAACATATATATACTACCTGCAATCCGAATTTCAAGCAATTACAATTTAAAAGTACACCATCAACATCTATTTCTATGTCAATAGTTGGCATAAATCACTGCTAGATATTTATTAGTATATAACAACTAGGAATTCAAAATTATCTCAATGTAATCCTTATAACAATCGATTTGTAATCAAACATTTATTTTTTCATTTTATGGTTTCTAAAATGTTGAACCTCTTCTAAGGAGTTGGTGCATAATCCAATATATATCCGAAACTCCCCCTTTCTAGGAATGTCTTTTTTCCAATTACAAAAAGACAATCTCAGCTCCACAAACATTATGCTCGATGTTAGATTTTTCAAATCAATGCTCCATGGTTGTCGGCTGAAATTGTTAGGTTCACAGGAAGGTTTGTAACATAGCAATAAGAACACATTCCAATATCTGTCTCCAAAATTACCAATTGGGAACTCAAGTTGCTATCTAAACTCAAATATAAACCAATCATAACAGGAAAGCCATTTGGGTTTACTTATGAACATTTAGCATATAGAATTAATACTGAAAACAGCAAGTCAATATTGATTATGTAAATAACTAAATAAGCAAACAAAACATGCAAAAGAAGAGAAACACCGTGAATGATTGGTGGCTGTGTTGCAAAAATACCTATCATTTGCTAGATTCCATGCTTCCTGCCTCAACTCAGGTGGTGTTCCAAGGGTTGCAAGATAGTTTGATATGAACTTATGAGGATGCTCAACATGGCAAACAAAACCCATCTCTTTCAGTATGTGTCTTTCTGTTCTGCTTAATTCTGCTTTCAAGTCTGAAAATTTCTGCAAATAACAAACAAAAATACGAAGTGCTCTGAAAAGTAAGTACTGCATTTGTCCAGATATGTGAACTTATCACTCTCACCTTTGAATATAGGTCCAAATGCTCTATCAGTAAGTTCTCTCTTCTACATTCCATTCTGTGAAAAACTATTATTACTTGCCTTGCTCTCCTAGGACTTTCCTCTAATTTTGATGCAAGCCATAAAGAGCTAGCCGCAACTATCTACAAAGAAATTAAAATATCAAAAAAGGATAGATTTTTTCACCTTTTTTCCACTTTTACCATAAGGAGAAAAAGGAAACATATTTCCTTAAGCCTTAAAGTAATTAGGCCGAGAAATCAGTAAGAAATACCCACCATTACAACTCAAATGTAACACTACAAATTCTTCGTACACAAAAAACAAAATCACAGATAACTAACAATAATTCTTCTCTTCCTTTCAATTTAATAAGTTATCAACAGCCAAAGAAATTATTAAAGGAGATTAACCTTGACATCAAAGCGGGCAAATGACTTCTTGCAATAAAAACGATGGAAAAGAACCTGGCCAGTGGCCATAACAGCTTGGGGCCTGTAGGTACAAAATTAATGAAACATCAAGTAAGCAGAAAGTTCCTTATAGTATGTGATTTATATAACTAAAATTTAAAACAAAAATAAAGAAATAGTTACAATTTAAGTAATATTCCACTTTCTTGGATGAGATCACAACCATAGATTCTTAGTGTAATTTCAGTTGCTTCATCTATGCCATCTTTAGTTGAAGGCGAGTTCTTTAGCTGCTCATCTGTTAAGTAGAAGTTGTCAATCACCGTATAGATCATTATTCCCTTAACAACCTCCTATTAACTGTCACAAAATGAAAACACAAAAGTCCAATTTCAGTATTCTGACTGTAACCAAAAGGTCGCCTATTTTGCTAAACTGATAGCTTCCTAAGAAAATATATATTCAACAGAGCAAATAGATAGATAGATAGTCTGAGATGAGACAGCAATAAGAAGTAGGAACGAAAGCCAAAAATGATAACTCAAAACCTCGTTACTAGAGAAGAAATCAAATCTTCAAGTTTAAGTCTAGGGTTTTAAAAAAAATTAAAGAAGCCCGAAGGCAATAGGAAGCTTGAGTCAAGACCTAGAGGAGGAGAGGGGTGAGCAGTAGGATCCAAATTCCAAAACAGAAAATCAAGTATAGCAGAGAGCAGATATAACACAAACCGAGCCATAACTCAAAATCTCATGATTCAACTAGAAATCAAATCTTCAAGATAAGTTTAGGGCTCCAAAAAGCATCTTATTAAATTTTATGGACAGACGGAAGATTGAAGGCAACAGAGAGCTTACGTCAGGCACTGGCGGAGGAGAATTAAGCCGATAGAGAGGCTTGTTTGGCTGAGAGAGATGAGAGTATGTCGCGAATTCACAAAGCAAATTTAAAAACAAAAATCATGTTATAAATAGTGATTTTGTAAAGTTAATAAACGCAATTAATTAAAAAATAATACTACTTTTCTCTTATATTATTATTTTTCTTTCTTCCATTTTTCTCATTCTTATTCTAAATCATAAAGCCTCGCCCTCGTGTACAGAGATAAATTCATATTTTCTATTTATAAAAATAAATATTTGATCATAAAAAATATAGGGTAAAATATATAAATAGTCTTCGAACTTTTAAGATGCTTGTATTTTGGTCACCCAACTTTTAAATTTATAATAAAATCATCAAACTTTAATTCGTTTTCAATTTGATCCCTGTCATTTACTGCCGTTAGTTTTTGCTGATGTCGCACTTAACCCGTTAACTTTTTCTAACGTGGCTGCTGCTGCTTCTTCTTCTCTCTTTCTTCTTCTCCTTCTTCCTCCTCCTCCTCCTAAAATCCCACGACTTTGCTGGCTATTAATTTTCTTTCCCAATGGCAATGGGAAGTGATAGCAGGTACAAACCAATGGGGATCGATTTAGTAGCGGGAGGCAAGAGCAAGAAGACCAAAAGGACTGTTCCCAAGTCCGATGATATTTACCTCAAGCTTCTCGTCATGGTCTCACCATTGTCTTCATTTCCTGCTAAAAGAATGTTCATTCTTTTTCTGTTTTGAATAAATGATTTTATTTTTATGTTCGGCCTTAGCTTTACCCTTTCCTTGTGAGAAGAACTGGGAACAAATTCAATTCTGTTCTATTGAAACGCTTGTTTATGAGCAAAGTTAACAAGCCTCCACTCTCTTTCTCTCTCTCTCTCGTCTTGTTCAGTTCATAAAAGGAAAGGTAGTTATATCTTTATATTATAAGAAAATTTCTGGGTTTTTGTTTAGGATCTTTGTATAGCCATTGGTTTTTGGTTTAAATTTTTATCAGCTTACTTTGCGGGCTCCTTTGGGTCAGAACACGGTATGCGATTTCTTCAAGCATTTGTTAATCTTGGGACCCTTTTTTTGTTCAAATTATGTATATCTATTGATTTTTGTTTGCATTGGAGTTATGATTTATCAAATACTCATTCTTGCTTCTGAATCATGGTTTCCAGAATCGGATCGATTAACGAACTGATCATGTTACCGGTTTATTGGTTCAACCGGTTGAACTGGTCTGACCGGTCGGAAGAACCAGACGACGTTATAATTATTTAAAAAATTAAATAAAAATACCAAAAATATTTAATAAAAAATAATTTTTTATATCACAATTCATATTCAAAGCAAGTCATAACATATATAAGTTAAAAACCATAAAATCAAGTGAAACAAAATGATTCAAATTAACTACAACATAATATTTAAGATAAAACATATTAAATAATAAATATAATTATATAACTATAATTAAAAAATAAATTTGATGCTAAAAAAATCATAACAAAATGATATTGTTTGGTTTAATTTTTTTTTAAAAACAATCTAACGTGGCTAAAAAACATAGAAGAGCATCCCAAAAGTCTAAGGAGTAAAAATATGAGAACAAAACAATCTCACATTGCTAAGAAACATAGAAGCGCATCACAACTAACTTCTATAAATAATAGAGGTAATTTGACATTCAAAATCATGGAGCCTTTTGGTGAGCATTGAGTGAACTATTCTTTCACTTCAATCAAGCTCGAATTTTAGGTTTCAATCGAGCTTCTAATTTTTTTTTTTTGAGTTTAAGCCTTTTTGAGTTCAAGTTTCAATATTATATTTCGAGTTTGAGTTGAACTTGATAATTTTTAGCTTGTGAGTTTGAGTTGAGCTTACTTTTAAAGTTTTCAAGTTCGAGTCGAGCTCAGCAATACTCGAGTTCGACTTGGCTCGTTTAACAAACGACGTTGTTTGGTTTAATTTAAAAATAAAAAAAAAAACAAAAATCCCGGTTTTTCCCGGTTTTCCCCGATTTTCCTGGTTTTTTCCGGTTTTCAGCCGGTCTGGTTCGAACGGTTCAACGGTTCTGACCGGTTCACTAATAGCGGTTCAATCGGTTTAGATTGAACCGGACTCAGCAACGGTTCTCGATTGAACCAGCCGGTCCAGTCCGGTTTTCAAAACAGAGAATCTGAATTGAAAGAGTTGATATCATTTGATTCTATGCTTGAAACAAATGAACGTCTAAAGAACATAATATGCTGAAACTTAGCTCTTTGCAAATGTGAAATTTAGTTCTGTGGATATTGATGCTCTGATGGATATATACGGTATTGTTAATTTATTTGTTCTGAGTCTTTGTCTGGTAGTATAACTATTTTAATCATTCTTCATTTGAATGGTAATTGTTTATGGTTTAACTTTTCTCCGCCTTTTGTGTATATCAACTTAGAAATCGATATACCATTTTCTTGGAATTCTAGAAACGGAATATGTTTTGTGTAAGTTTTAGCCATCAACGTGAAAGTGGATAGTGTTGCTTGCCTTAGAGCTGGACTTCTCAGCTTCTGCAGACTGCATGTCGTTTTTTCCCTTCTGAAAGAAGAATATGTCTGCTACCGGCATTTATAAGATGTGCTTTGGGTGGAATTGCAGGTTCTTCTCAGAGGACCGAAGAATGGCCGTGAAGCAGTTAAACATTAGTATTTGTTTTGAGGATTGTCTTCCATTGAATTGAATTTTGCTGTGCTTTAGGTTTCCATGGTATTTGTTTGATTATGGAATGATTTGTGAGTTAAAAGCTGCTGGGATTTTCACGATTCTCTCCAATTCGCAAATGGAATAAAGAACACTTTGCCGTAAAAAAAACATAATTGACTGGATTTGAACTTTTGCAGCAAGGTAATCCATGGGTTTTGAGGCTAATTGCGATTGCTTGCGTTTCTTTGGTTGCAAAGATACTCTTTCATGGATTTGAGTTAGGTTTTAAGTTAGGGGAAATGTATAGAATTATGCAATTAAATAAGTTTAAATATTAAATTAATGCGAAAATATGATATGAATAAAAATGATGATAAAGTGAGTCTATTATAGGGACAAAATTGATCTTCAAGCCTTCAAAGTATAAGTGAAGATCCATGACTGAAAATATATTATCATAAATTATTAGTCATTATTAACGTATTACAACAAGATTTAGATTGTGCTCAATAATTCATGTTGATAACTTAGTAGAGTGCTTGTACTATTTCAATATGGGATCTAATTGTGTCTAACCTAGTTCGATTAATGATTGAAAAATGACCCATACTTTGTGAGTCAAGTGTTTTTATAGTGTCGTATTAGGTGTGTATCTTACTTGTATAGTGTCATAATTAATTTGATAAATTCAATTATTTAATAATAAGTCATGTGTGTATTAATATGTTTAATTTGTTATGGGCAACCCAGATATGATGTATAATAATTTCCAACCTTAATATTTTATTGTAAAAAGGTATTAATTTGAGGTGCCTCTATTTTAAAAAAAAATTAGGTCATCCTCAAATTATTATTTGTATCTAATATAGTCCTCTAATTGACTACCAAGATTCCAGATGAGTGGAGACAATCTACGGTGATACCAATCTATAAGAATAAAGAAGATCTCCAACGTTGTGGCAACTACAGAGGTATTAAACTACTCAGCCATACCATGAAGATATGGGAAAGGGTGATAGAAGCTAGGTTGAGACAGATTACTAGGGTTTCGGAAAACCAATTTGGCTTTATGCCAGGTAGGTCTTCTACGGAGGCGATTCATCTTCTTCGACGGCTTATGGAGAAATATAGGGAAAAAATAGAGATCTTCACATGGCATTCATTGACCTTGAGAAGGCGTATGATAGCGCTCCCTGCGATACGATCTGGAAGACCTTGGAAACGAGACGGATCCCAACTGCTTATATCCGGGCGATTCGTGATATGTACTGTAGAACTACTTCATACGTCAAGACTACAGTTGGCAACACCGCGCCATTCCCGGTGAAAATCGGACTCCACCAGGGGTCGGCTCTTAGCCCTTACATCTTCGCCTTGATTATGGACGACATCTACTGTGCGACACCAGACGATGTCGCATGGTGTATGCTTTTCGCTGATGACATTGTCCTAGTTGCTGAAACAAAGACTGAGCTGAATAGTAGACTGGCTACCTGGAAGACTGCTTTAGAAGAAAACGGTCTAGTGATCAATATTGAAAAGACTGAGTATTTATGTTCAAACTTTAGTGGGAACCAAAACGATGAAGATGTAGAAGTATGCATATAAGGACATGTTCTCCCCTCAAATGATTATTTCAAGTACCTAGGGTCTATGATACATAAAGATGGGGGTGTGGATGATGACGTTACACACCGTATAAAGGCGGGATGGCTAAAGTGGAGGGCTGCTACTGGAGTTTTGTGTGACAAGAAGGTGCCTCTAAAACTTAAGGGAAAATTTTATAGAATGACAATAAGACTAGCGTTGCTGTATGGATCAGAATGTTAGGCAATCAAGAAGGATCACGTAAGGAGGATGAAGGCTGCAGAAATGAGAATGCTTCGATGGGCATGTGGTAGGACTCTGTGGGACATGACACCAAACTCTGCTATTAGGATGTTCTTGGGGGTGGTGCCTATACCCGAAAAATTGAGGGAGGGAAGACTACGGTGGTTTGGGCATGTCCTTAGGTGACAACCATCGGATGCGATCAGGAGGGTGGAGTCGATTACAGTCGACGGTGCCAGAAGGAGAGGACGACCAAGGCGGAAGTGGGAAGACTGCTTGAGATTTGATTTAAATGATTTAGCCCTTACTGAGGACATGACCTCTGATAGGAAAGTATGGAGACTTAAGATCAGGGTAACTGAGTAGTACAGATCACATCCATAGGGTATATCATCTATGTCTTCTTTTTATGCATTTGTAGTAATTTCCATGACTTCTTCTTTTTATACGTTTCTGTCATTGGAATTTATGAAGGCTTAGAACTACGGTAGCGGAGTAGTGTTGCTTTAGTTTAGGTTTTAACACATTTGACTTTATTCCTTCTCGTTGCTTGCTATCGTTGAATTTTGTGTATCATTTACTTCAAGTTTTGCTCTTTTTAAATATTAGTCGGGTCTTACGTTTCTGTCTATATGCAGAGATTTTTATGCAGGGATTTATTTGCAGGGATTACTTCACATTTCAGACGCACATATGTAGACTGTATATGAAGACTGTTCAACTATTTATTTATTTATACATGCATGGCATTTCTATCTTTACTTTTAATTTTTCTAACTGCCGGAGGTCTTCCACGGAAGCTGCTCTCAACCTGGTATTGGGGGCAGCCTACTACCCTACCTCCCCATTACCCCATTGCATATGAGAATAGGGTTTTGTTGTTGTTGTTGTTGTATAGTCCTCTAATTTAGAAAAATAATTCAATGTAGCTCTTTGATAAACGCTTTTCGTCTTTGACATCTATGATGTTAATGTGGCACTTCACGATGCTGACGTGATGATTCACTGGCGTGATGATTCACTGGCGTGATGATTCACTGTGGTTGGTGCCATGACTAATGACCAGTGCTGGATCCAGAAATTTATAAATGGGGGATCAAAATTTTAATTTTCTTTCTTAAAAATAACGGGGTGCAAAAATTTTATTTTTTTCATTTTTTTTAACATATTATAATAAATTTCATTTTTTTCCTAAATAATGGGATGCACTTGGCCCCCTATGGGGCTTAGTGCATCCGCCCCTGCTAATGACATGGCAAATAGAATAAATTAATATTTTTGCTCGAGTTAGAGTGCCAAATCGATTCTTTTTAAAATTCATGCTCTTTAGTTGCATCTATAAAAGCCTATTAGAGCATGCTTTGATTTGATAAAATACTTATCATTGCACCTTCAGATTGTGCTCTAAAACATGAACTACTCACTCTACTTCTATACTAATTTCTGAAAAGCTCATTATCTTCTTAGTCTACATTTTGTTGTGTGTATCATACATATTTATTTTATATTAGAGTTGATTGTATTGAAGAATCGAGAGATGTAGCAGTTCATCCGTATAATAGATGATAATCCCACGACTTGATTATTCTATATATCATTTTTATATTTAATTTTTAATAGTTTTTCACTATATTTCATTAAATCTTGGTGCATTACATCATTTTTATAAATTGTATACTCCAAACATCACTTTCATAAATACGATAATCTGAAATTTATCTCTTTCACTAATATGATAATATGAAAATCATAAATTTATATTATTTTAGGATTAAATAACATATTTTGTACAAGTTATAACAAATAAATTATGCCTGCTAATTTAAATTTCATATTTTGATTTTATTTTTAGATAAAATATCTAAAATAAATAAATAAAATTTTGAACTATTTTTAAAAATTATTTCAATGACTAATATAACTAGTATGATCTAATCATACCGATTAAATAAGTGCAAAATGTCATAACACATAGGAGTATTTACTTTTTACTATTATGATTTAGGCTTAATATAAAAATAAGTGCTTAAACTATATTAAAAATTAACTTTTGATGTCTAAAGAATTTTTCGCTATCAATAGATACTTAAAGTTTTCTCCTTACACTTTTAGGACCTACCATTAAATGACACGTATCACGTCCAAATTTTTTTAAATAATTTTTTTAAAATAATATTTTATTTTTAAAAAAATCTTGACGTGACACATATCACTTAATGATTTTTTAACTGTAAGCGCCAAAAAATGTAACAAAAAAAACTTTAGGTACATATTTTTAACAAAAATTCTTTAGTCACTAAAACATTTTTCGATGCATTCTTTAGACACTTATTTTTGTATTAAGTATATGATTTAATTTTTGTTCTCTCATTTTTTAAAATCTTGAATTCTAGACAAACTAAGAGCACTCATATTTCTTTATCCTTCTCCTCCATTCTAAGTAAGATTATGATTAAATTTATAATTTATAATTTATTATATATATATATATATATATATATATATATATATATATATATATATATATATATATATATATATATATATAATTATATATTATCATAGAATTGCTCGTCCAACTCAATTAGTAGAGCACAAGGCTCTTAACCTTGTGGTCGTGGGATCGAGTCCCACGGTGGGCAATTCATAATTCTGACTGCTGGAGGTCTTCCACGGAAGCTGCTCTCAACCTGACGTTGGGGGCAGCCTACTACCTTACCTCCCCTCATCTTACCCCATTACATATGAAAATAGGGTTCAACTACTTTTATATATATTATCATATTTTAAAAGTAGTAAATGAGCAACATAGTTAAAATAAAAACAATGAAGATTTTAAAAGACACCATTGTTGAATTTTGAAAATAAAGAAAAAAAATGGCCGCCACACTCGAGAGTTGACCCAATTCTTCTTTCCCAATAGGCGTGTGCTGACCACGGCGTCGTTTTCTCGGCCTCGTCTTCATAAACTACCGTGAATGTTTCTTCTTCTATTGTAAATGCTCTGTATTGCCACCCAACTCTCTCGCCCTCCTATTCGTTTATCTGTCTCCATTCTTTTCATTTCTTTCTTAAAAGGAAAAGACCCTTATTTTCTCTTTATTTTTGCTCTCCTTGATCCTGGGCTCCCTGCTAAAAGGTACAAATCTAATTTCAGTTTTTTCTTGGGGTTTTGTGATAGAATTTTAATAACTTCGTTGCTTGTAATGCTTTTTGTTTGTTTCTGTCGATTCCAATCGTGTATCATTTATTGTTCTTCGATGGTTGTGTTGTAGATTTCCCTGTGCGTCTTCTCAAGTTTACTATTTCTTTTCTATGAAGGACATGTAATCAGTGTTTTTCTTCTTATCAATTTCTGAGAATTCATCCGAGTATTCTTTTGAAAGGAAATTCTTGTTTTTGTTGAAATGATAATGGCTTTTTTTAACCTAATTAGTTATTAGATGAAGTCTTTGGACGAGTAATTGCCTAATTGGTCAATCTGCTATTTGTAAAAGCTTCAGTTTCATCCCCCATTATTGAGTGCTTTGGCTTTAGTTTAAGATGACTCATATCAATTGTTAGTGTGATTCGCAATGCCTTTACATTCATTCACGAATTACTTAGTGAATTCCATGTGCTTGGTTGAGTCGAGGTTTTGAATTTGTTAGTGTCTTCGACATTTTTATCTTTTAAAAGCTTTAACTCTTTCATTTTGCTCTGGATTGGACTGCTTTTATTTGATCAAACATGCTTGGTTTCACTTTGTAATAAAATTAATATTGATTTGTTATTCGGTTTTTGTATGCAATCTTAATCTATTCATACATGTATGGTTCTTTTGATGGTAATTTAGAGGTGGCAAACGGGTCATTCAAATCGGGTTCGGTTCGAGTCATTTCGATTTAAACTTAATTCAGGTCAGGTTCGGTAATGACTTAATTCAGGTCATGTTCAGGCCGGATTGAGTCATTTCAAGTTTCGATTTTATTTGGGTCTATAGTAATTCGGGTCGGTTTGGATCGGACCGGGTCATTTCGGGTTTTGGGTTTTTCGGGTTTATAGTCTGGTTGATTCGGGTATCGGGTCTGGTCAATATTGGATCTGTAGATTTCGAGTCGGATTAAATCGAATCAGTAGATTTCGGGTCATATCAATATTCAATCAATTATTTTCGTTTTGATCAACTTTGGATCTTCATATCAATTCAAGTTGAGTTAAGTACAAGTCAAATTAAATATATATAGAATTACTGATATATTTTTATAAATAATGTGTCTTTTTTTTTTTGAAAACAAATCTTATCATTTGTGTTAATTTTCATTCAAATTCAATTATCATTTTGTAGACACCTATTTTCTTAAAAGATATAACTAACAAGAGTTTCTTTCCTAAGGGGACTCTTCCACCACCATATCTTTTAAATCAACTACACCAACAAACGTGCAACAACCGGGTAAGGAGTCTAGTTACATTAGGATTCTATTGTTGATAGGATTCTAAGAATAGTTAGTTTTTTTTCACTATAAATACATGTAATCCTCCCCATTTGTAAGACACGGATTGTGATACGAAATACAAGCAGAAATTACAAGCAATCTTAAAGTGAAATTAGAGTTTTTTTTTCCTGCAAATTTTCGAAGAGAAATACAAGGTAAATATAGTATCTTTTTCGAGTTTATGCTTGCATGCTTGTGTCTTGTTACATTTTGTATTCGAAAAACATCAAAGAAAACGATTTTTTTTTGCCGATGAACAGGGGTAATCTCAAGGGGTAATCTCACTCTTGGTCCCCTCTGTTTTTTAAAGTATTTAATTGCCCCCCAAAATTAATGTTTTCTCTTCAAAATTGGACATTCACGTTTCGATTCTTTCGATTTAGTCACTCTTTGAAATCCAACTTTTTTTCTCATTTTATTTATTGTATATTTTTTATTATATTTATTTACTTTCACGTTATTATATATACACATTTTTTTATGTTTACTATTATTTTATTATTATTATTTTCTCATGTTTATATATATATATATTTTATTTATTTATTTTGTCTTCCTAGTGTTTATTTACACACATATATATATTTTTTCTTTTCTTACCTTTATTTATTTTATTAATATTAATATTAGTATATATATATATATATATATATATATTTAAGTATACTTTTCTTTCATTTACAATATTTCTCTATTTTTGTTTCGAATTATTTATATTATATTAAATTTTTTCTTTTATATATATATATATATATATATATATATATATATTATGTCATTATTTATATGTATAGAGATGTATTATTATTATTTAGTTATTACGTATATTTTTTGTTATTATATTTTGTTCTATATATTTCTATATATATTTCTTATTTTTCTATTATTATTTTTATTTAATACTATGTACATCTTCATTTTTGTGTGTTTTATCTTTTTTTTATCTAACGTGTTTCTTGACTTTTCAAGGGTGTTTTTTAAAATAATCAGAGGTAAGTAATCAAGGCCAAATTTTACCTTTTAATTTAAACTTACAATTTTCTTAATTTAAAACAACTGGAAATTACGTAGTACCGAAAGGGCAGTTCAAGGGTGCTAACCCTTCCTTGACTGTAACCGACTCCCGAATCCGACATGTCTCTGGTAAAACGCAGATCAAGTAAGAAATAAGGTATATGGTCTACCTATTTGTTTTAAAATAAAAGATCGGTGGCGACTCCAATCCATTTAATCTAAGTCGAAGCCCAATTCCGGGGCCCAACCGAAAGACGGTTGCGACAGCTTGGCGACTCCGCTGGGGACCTTCAAGTAAGTCAGACTAAGGTAATTTTCAGTTGTCTTTTCAACGAAAAGGGTAAGTTTAAATTTTAAGGTAACATTTCGATCCTTTTTGCTTACTTTTGATTATATTTTTTCGAGTAAATAGTTGTACTAACTGTTTCCTCAATGATTTCAGCCCTTAAAGTCTTTTTTCATCTAAGGCTCTAAACCCGAGCTCCGAACCCGTTTTAAGTGGGGTGAAAGCGACGCATTCGTGTGAATTTATTCACCGCATATGCCTAGCAAGTATCCTTCGGGATTCATATACCTTATGTCTTCGTGTGAATTTATTCTCCGCATAGACATAAGAGAATGTGTCCTCTTGAGTTTAACTTAGTCCACATGAGCATGTGATGGGTTTAGGACTAAGGGTCTGGCAAGCCCAAGGGGGCACCAGCAATGAGAACTCGGGTACCGTTTTTATAACCTAAACCGGGATACTTTGAAGAATTAGAGCCTACCCCAGAACCTCATTTCCAAACCTAGGATGTTTGAATTATTTCATGTTTTACTTTCTGCTCAAAGCATGCGAACTAGACAAATATGCGGTTAGGATTTATTTGAAATTAGCATGCGGGATAGAAATCATGTCCGAGTAGGAATACTAAGCATGTTCGGGTAGATATCATGTGGGGTAGGATTTTTCATTTTTTTATTTTGTTTTACTTCACTAATTTTTTTATTTTCTCTCTTTTATTTTATTTCCATCATTCAAAAGAGGTGTTGATCCACAAAAAACGTGTTTGTTAAACATGAATAATCTGCATTAATGGACAGAGGGGTTGTAATACAAGAGATGAAAATACAGAGGACAGTCTACAGGGCGACTATGTATCACATTCAATCCAGAAGACGTGGTACCCGCAATAGAAGAATATGTCACTTTGCTACATTGTAAAGGACTTCGAATGGACCGGAATTTACACTGAGCACACTAAAGTCAAATTTTTGAGAGGAAAAAACTGTAGGGGCAAGACGAGGAAAAAGTTACTGACCCGGAGATTCCTTTCAAAAACTACAAGAACAAGATGAATTCCAGAAACAAGTCGATAAGCTTCGGATGGAGGGCTTCAATGGCACTTTCGTTAGAAACAAGCTCGGCAGAAAGTGAAGGTCGGAGATGCAGTCCTTCGAGACCTTTTTTGGGGCAAACAACTTGTCGACAGGATATTCAATCGGTGACAGACGAATGCAGAAGACTAGTCAACATGTCAGAAGCTGTTAGGATATTTTTGTCTCTTAAAAGATAAAATACTTTTGTCCCCAATAAGGATTATTCATAATAACAGGCACATTTTTTGGATCAATGCCTCGAGCATTTCATGCATGATGCATCATGCATTTAGACATATTCTGCATTTTATTTATTTTCCTTGCATTCACATCAACTAACAGAAGAATGTCTCAATAAAGGAATAAATACTGGATACACCGCCTCAAGCGTTGGACACACATCATCCGCATAACATCCGCTTGAAAAAGAAAAGACAAATAGAGGCCAGAATCGCTCAAATCGAGGAGAACATGGCCAAATTGCACAAAGAACTTGAAGATAAGATAAACCAGAGTAGTCTGAGTATTCTGACTACAATCATGAAGAACCAAGAATCTTTGGTTGATCAGATCGTTGCCAAGTTAGTTGGCCTACAACAGACCAGTGCGCCTGGGACAGGTTCACCGGAAGGGGTAACTATACCACCTATCCCACAAATGGTTGTCTCACCTGAAATCTTATCCGGATTACAAGGGGACTCATATGCTATCAAAGGGAAAGCCATATCTGGTGCAAATATACAAGCTTCCGCGACCAACACTCATCCGGAAGACTATCACATCCCAGATTTTGACGAGGATGATAAGATAAAGAAGATGGAAAAGAAGATCAAGATGTTAGAAGATCAAATGAAGATGGTCCAAGGGGACCATAATTATTATGGAGTGGATGCAATGGAGCTGAGCCTGGTTCTAGATTTGGTGTTTCCACCAAAGTTTAAAGTTCCTGAGTTTGAGAAGTTCGACGGGAACAGCTGCCCTTCAGCCCATATCACTATGTTCTGTCGGAAGATGACAGGATATGTAGGGAATGACCAACTCCTGATCCATTGTTTCCAGGAGAGCCTGTCCGGTTTAGCTATCTGGTGGTACAACCAGCTCAGCCGAACTCATATCAAGACATGGAAAGACTTAGCCAAGTCTTTCTTAGAACAATACAAGCATATCGACGATATGAGACCAGACCGGGTTATGCTACAAAGCCTGGAGAAAAAGCACAATGAAAGTTTTCGACAATACGCACAACGATGGAGGGATCTGGCTGTGCAAGTTCATCCACCCTTGGATG